ATCAAATGGCCTGAACGACAACAAAAGGCAAAAATGGCTTGACACGGAACGTATTAAGAATTGAAATAACTCGTGAAACACTTTATCGAGAACACGGACCCTTTTTTTTCTGTAACAGATGCCAGAGATCTCTCACAGCGCAGCTGTTTCATATTTAAATCTATATGAATGCGCGAAGACTCTGAAGAAAACACTCCAATTCTCAATGGACGCAAATCTATACCAGAAAATATGTACCTAATCGCTGGTGACCTCGACGTCGGTGCGACTTTAACCTCCTCAGGGGCGAATTTTCAATTTCGGTTATAACGGTATATAAAGGTATATTTAACTTTCATTTCACTTTTGGCAGCGTAAAGAAAGTAACGCATAGAACAAGTAAGTTCGCACTTCAGAATGTCCAAAAGATAATTTTTGTAACGGTTTCGTAACGAATGGAAGTTTTTCATAATTTTGGCGTGCGGCCAAAGGTTTAAAGGAGCAAAGTACAAAACATGTATCGAAATTCTTTTATCGAATTCGACCAGAAAGCCATCCTCCGGATGATCGTTCGATCTTCCGCGACTTCTTGCCTTTTCGCCGTGTAACAAAGACGTTTTGTCTGAACGTCGACATTATGGCTGACCCCAGTTTCCCCTGCGTGAAAGGTTGCGAGGGTAAGGCAAGGCACTCTTCAGCGAACTATTGATAGCACTAGCGAACCGTGCTGGCCTTTCAAAGATTCGTCTCGCGAGCCCCAGTTAACACTAGAACTATCGACAAGTTAAGACGAAGCTATTTCTACCAAAACAAGACTGGCCTTTAAAAAAAAAAAAATAATAGAATATTTATTGATTTATTACTTTCTTACGATAGAAATCCCATGTTACGCAGTTAATACCAAATTTGTCGGATTTATTCGGCAAATATTGAATAAATCTGCATCTGGCTTTGGATGGAAAGAGTCGTTTGTCAATTGTAATGTTTGCACCTAAGTTTGTAGCAACGCTGGCTATTTTGAATAAACTTATCCCACGCAGCTGATATCGAAGCGAATTCATCACTTTGTAAACGTTGA